TTTAAATGTTCAAGCATAGCAATCATTTCTTGGCCATTGGGCTGAGATTTAGTGTAGTGACTATTAAAACATAGCTAAAATAGGTCAAATTTTAGGGAAAAATAATTAATGGAAGAATGTCAGCAGATAGCATGGCTTTTGAGAAGGGGCTAGAGCTATTTATCTACTAGTAGAGTAGCAATCATATGGCAGGACTGAGAGTCCGAAAGAATCTTGCAACTGAGTGGCCAGTTGAGCAATGGACAAAGCCAAACTTCTTGGTTGAAGTTTTGGGGTAGACTTTGCTTTTGGGAGAGTTTTGGCAGTCTAGGTTTAGTTTTGAACCATTTCCCTTGTACAGATGGTTCACAACTTACAGTGGTCTAACTTAGGATCATTTGTCTTTAAAGTGATGTAAAATCAATAGGCATTTAGTAGAAACAATACTTAAAAATGCCTCAACTTCTGTATCTTGACCCTTCCTAGGCTGGCCACATGTGGTAAGAGAGTCACTTGGGATATGGGAGCCCCAGATCCTGGCCAGCCGCGTGATTCCACAGTGACCACAGTATAGTGTGCTGGGTTGCTAAGCTGTGATGTTCAGCAGGTTAGGTGTGCATTTTCCAGTTAAGATACTTTCAGTTTCTGATAGGTTTATTGAGATGCAAGCCAATCGGAAATGGAGGAACATCTTTCTTCAGCTTTAGAATTGATTTCCTCTTTATGATTAAAAATAACATAAAGGAAAGAAGGCCACCATTTTCTTCCTTTCATTATAAAATGACAAGCAGTTTCAGTCCTAGGACCTGATAAGACCCTTTGGGGGCAGGGAGCAGCTCTGGGGGGCAGCACTGATGTGCACGAGGCCAGTTCTTGTGTCAGACCTTGCTTGGTATGCACTTCCAAGGCTTCCATCTCAGTTGTTGCTATTATTTCCCTTTTTTTTTTTTCTTTAAGAAATAGGGTGTTGCTAAATCACTCAGTAGGTTGCCCAGGCTGGTGTCAAGTTTGCAATCTTTCTGCCTCAGCCTCCCAAACTGCTGGAATCATAGACATGTGCCAGGGCACCCAGCTTCATGCTCAGTATTTTAAGGAAGAAAAGAAATAATTTGAATAGAGGGCTTTATAGTAAATATAGAGAAAGAAATTGGATGCTAAGGAACATTGAGAACCACCTGAGAACAATAATTCAATAAAAAGAAACAAATTGCTGGTTCATGCAAACACGTGAAACTGTCAGGCTAAGTGAAAGAAGCCACACAAAAGCTTACACACTGTGTGGTCTCATTTAAGGGTATTCTGGAAAAGGCAAAGCTGTCAAAGAAATCAGATCAGTAGCTGCAGGGTTGAGGAGTAAGGGGAAAGGAGAGAGCATTGACTATGAAAAGAACATAAGGGAATCTGAGGGATGACAGAGCTGTTCTGTGTCTTGACTGTGGTTATTGAGAGACTGTCAAAACCCACGGGACTGGCAATTAAAATGGGTGAATTTTACTGGATGTGAATTATACTTTCATACAGCACACACACACACATGGGTGTTCACATGTGTGCACACTACGGTTTTGCTTGCTGGATCAGGTGGATCAGGGACTGTGCGGGTATCTAAAAAGTGGCCTTGTGGATCTTGCCTGTGTGGCACATTAAGATTCTGTGGCAAGTTTTGTTTGGAAAAAAAATTCTGTTAAAAATATTTGGAAACCACAGGATAAGACAAGTGCCTGTGAGGCTCAGCTGAGCTTCACCAGAAGGACAACACCTGTCTTTGTAGTAGCTGGGGTGTTTTGCTCTTTTTCAGATATGCCTTACTAAGAAACAGAAATCAGAAAAGGAAAACAAACAAAAAAGACAGTGCGTATTTACTTTCCCTGAGTAATACCCAAATTGTTTTCTTTCCTTAGAATTTCATCTTAATAAGAAGTTTGGGTTCTTAAATGGACAAGCATGGGGTGGGAAGCCTTCTATCAGTCAATCTGCAAGGATTACACAGGGTGCTCAGAGACAACAGATATGAATCTGTGCTGCCGTGACTAACTCTGAACAGGGACATTTGGGGCTTTATTGGCACCTGAAGAGCAGTGGTAGGACAGCGATAAAAGGACTTTGGAAAGTTTTGCAAGCCTGGGAGGCTGGCTGAATAAATCATAGCCAAAGCCATGGTTTGGCTCAGAGAATCAGGCGCACTGCTGAATTCAGGGTTGTGAAACGCTTCCGTCTGGATGCCCTTCAGTGGAGCTAGCCCCACCCTTTACCGCCAGCCCCATGGCTTGTTATTGCCTTCCAGTCGAATATCTTGGGTTCCAGACTGAGCCCAAACTGTTTGGATCCGCTAGCAAATTTCTTTCTTTCCAGCTGCTCCATGGACTCTTACCCCACATGGTTCTACAAATTCCTACTCTGAATTTTGACCTCCATCCCTCTCAAGCCTTGCTGATAGGTCAGTAGAAGTCAGCGTCAAATGTCACATCCTGCCTGGTGGACCCTTTTTTATGGCTGTCTTCTCCCAGATGCCAGTGACAGTTCCCTCTACCTTCTCCTTCCCATATAAGGTGACAAGAGCTTCTCTCTGTTGCTGGCTCCTGGCTACTTTCCTGCCCTTTATTGGTTTTGTAATTCTAACCACACCTTTGTAAATAATCCTTTTGTTGCATTTTCCTCAGTTAAATGCTTATTATGGTTTCTGTTAGGATAGTGATTACAGCTCTTTAACCCAAAATCTGCTTTTGACTTCTCAGTATCCTTAAGACAAAATCCAAAAATCCCTTATACCTTTGCTCCTTGACTTGGTCTCCTACTCTGCTCTAGTTCATAAGGCTTTGTTTGTTCCAGCGTTTTCCCAGTTGGGGCCATGTGCACCTGCTGTTCCACCCTGTCTATTCCTCCCCAAATGCTATAGCTGCACTTTCTCATTCTGGTACCTAAGATTACATGTCGCCTCTTCACTGGGGACATTCCTGTCCACTTTAAGGAACCTTCCTTCCCTAAACACTTGCTATCTCATTTCTCTTTTTACTGCCCCCCTTATCCCTAAGATTTGGTTTTAGAAAAGAAAACATTTAGAAAGATGCAGGCAACAAGAGATAATGCAATGCCCAGAGCTAGGAACATCACAGTAAGCAGTGTTTGCCAGAACTCTAAATGGACTGCTGGTCAGGGAATGTGGCCTTTAGTTGCAAAACCATAGCAACCCAGCAATGAGGCAGGTTCACAGGTCACTCCTCTCCTCCTTCCTAACCTTCTGATATCCTGCTAGGACTTACTAGGAAGTCATAGGGCAAAAATAAAAATTGATGCAGTCCATCCAGATTTGTGTATTGGGATCTGGCACAGAGAGCAAGGTAGAGAAGAGCAGATAAGAATATCTGCCTTCACAAGGCCCAAGTTAGCTTTCAACAAGAACTGCCACATTTTAAAACCCCAGGAAGGGCCAGTCACCCAGATGCATGCAATATGTCAGTCCTGGTTGGCAATAGAATTTCAGAGAAGGAGGCAGGGAAAAAAATCCATGAATTCTCATGAGTCTGGCTCCAATTTTGGGGGACTGTTTGGGAAAACAACATTCACTCCCTCCCTAATACAGTGTAACCAGAATAGATGGGGATTCATTTTCTGATAGGGTCTCCAAGATCTCAGCCATGGATCTGTAAGATGAAGGAAGAGAATTCCTGTGGGCTGGTAGGCTTACCTGTTTTGTGCCAAGGACATTTCTGAAGTTGAAGAACAATGTCTATTTGTGTACAGAATGGAAACAAGAGCTTTGTTTTGCATTGTGTTTGGAGACAGAGAGGAACCAGGTAACAAGCTGGCAATACTTCAGTTTTTTGGTTTTGGGGTTTTTGGGGGGGGGGGGGAGAAGGGGGAGCGCAGAGCTCTCCAGGCTTTGTGGTGTAAGAACAAAATCATCCATCTATAGGATCAAAAGTTGAATGGGGAGGAAACTAAATAATTACATACTGCTGCCATCAAGTTTCAACAATGTATAAGAATTATTATGGTGATAGGTATGGGGCTGATATAGTTAAGTGGGATTATTAATCAGAAATTCCCTCTTGAGCACCTACTAGGGAAGGGAAGTGGTGAGAACTCACAGCCATATAAAAACAGAAGTTTTGACTTTAATAAGAGATGAGAGGAGTTGTAGACGCATGATTGAGAACTAGTTACAAGGCGACATGTTACATTACTAAAGGTGGGATGGGAGCCACTTGTCAAAAGGATTGGAACATTAAACTAGAGAATTCTATGATGCGCTGAAAATTGCTGCCATGACAATTTTCCCTACTTCTTCACTGAGCACAGATCGAAAGATTAGATGACCTGGGATGGCTGTGAAAACGGAGAAACCAGAGAAGACAAAATCAAACTGCTGGGCTGCACAACTCAGTCACCCTGCTGATGCCTGGTGGCTGGATTATGGCATTCTGTAAACACAGCAGAGTTAGAAACAGCTGTTAGCTCTGAGCTACTGTGTTTACTTGGTAAATTTAATTTCCCAGCACACCTTTCTATTTGATCCACCCTATCTGTTTGGGTGAAATAATGCCATGGCTTTCAGTTGCTTTGCATTCCCTTTGTTACAAAAGGAATATGAATCCCCAATTTATACTAATTTCTGATAGAAATTCTAGTTCCTCATTGGGAAAACTTCTAAATGCTTATTGACTGGTGACACACTGAGCCACCCCAAAAAAGAATAAAACCAGAAAGTATATGTCCTCTGGGGGCTTTTAAACTTCAAACCTGTAATGCAGAAACTTGTTCTTTTTTGTCATAAACCACCCTAAGGCACTGGCTGATAATAAAGTAGGAAATTAAGCTCTTATTTGAAGTTTGTATTTGGTAGGGGAATTGCTGTTTATTCAACATTCATTAAACCTCTACTATGGGCTGGGCTCTGTACTAGACATGAAAGAATCAAAGATGGATAAGACTCGGCCTTGGTGGCATGCAGACTGGCAGAGTGGGTGAGAAGTGACAGAGAAATGCTGTGCTAGTGAGAATCATGGGGGTTGATAAATTTAAGCAGCTGACCTAGAAGGAGCTGGCAATGGAGTGCCTTGCCTCTGCCACTCCAGGGCAGCCACTACTCAGCTCTGTGCCTAAGTGCTGATTTGTGAGGACTGCATTGATGAGCCTCCTGCTGCTTCTACTTGAATTTGACCAAAGGGAAGCTCTATCCAAAGGTGAGCCCAAAGGAAGAGCATAAAGCTGCGGTGTTCATTTTCTGAGAGTCTCCTTTCAGGACCATTGCTGGCTGGCTGAAGAATGTATTCCCTGCTTAAGGACTCGGTTCCTTCTAGGGTTGGGAGGCTGTGGTATCTTGGTGCACCACTCTTTCTCCTGGGTCCTACTGATCTTCTCCTCCCTAGCCTTTTCCAATTCTAGAGCGGCAGCAGCTATGAGAAACTGTACCATTGTTTTTGGTTCTCTTATACCCTATTCATATCTTTGTAAAAGTTCCTTTAATAATTCTCCGTAAATATCCAGTAATAATGTGATGTCTCTTTCTATTGGATTTTGATCCTAGATTGCCAGGGAAAAGTGACGCCTGAGCTAAGTGTGGAATAGTGAACAGTTCTCATGCATGGGAAAAAGTCAAGAGCTCAGTCAGAAGCAACAAACAGCCAATACAAGAATGTAGGGAAAGGAGATCGTAATGTGTTCCGTCCATGAAGGCTTGAACAATTAACCTGCTTTATCCTTTGCCCGTTCCACCTGGATACCACATCCTGTGCACTCTACTTCTGCCCCCACAGGTGACCCTTCATAACTCCAGGATGAAGTGAAACTATTAGATGGGCCCTGCCTGCTGGTCCCATCTGGCCAGGTTGTGCCTGTCGCTCCAGCACTGCCTCAGTGATCCAGTCTCTGTCATTTGTTCTCTAGGCTTCCTTTGCTGGTCCACAGACCTCAGAGCTCAGGGATCAGCTGCTCCCTTCAGAAAGACAGTATGCACAAATGGAAACTTTGTACATCATAACAATCTTGTACATCAAGAACATATGTTCCTGATGAATAGTGCAGAAGTAAAAAGTCTAATTCTCCATGAAGAATTTCCTCCTAGAACTACATTTCCTTACTCTTCTCATTTAAAATACAAATGGAAACCTTATTCATGTGGCATAGTGCCTAGGACCCATGAAAATATTTCTTTTAAAATCAGAAGACAAAGGAATATAATAATAATAAATCTGTAATAAATATTCCAACTTTATACTAATAAAGTTGCAAATTTTAAGACATTTTTATGGAGAAAAGAGTCTGTGACGGCAGAATTACCTATGACCCACAAAAGCCCAAATGTGCTCATGTGTTTTCATCATTTATTCCGTCAATGGATAATTTGATCTCCGGGGAATGGAACTGTGAGTTACTGTGTCTTTTCTGTATTTCTCTACTTTCTTTTGTTTTGACAATGAACATCTACAAGCTATGTCTCTAAACATCACTATCATTTACCAAACCATACTATAAAAATTATGTCAACTTATTAAAGAACTTCTTTTTGAAATTTTTTTCTTTTTGAAATTTTAATCAGTAATGTTTACAGTAATGATTGCATTCTTTGTGGGAATTTGGTACATGCATATAACATATCTCAATTCTTTTTTCTTTCCCTTTCCCTCTATCCATCTTTTAAAATGTTTTCCAGCATCGAATTCATTCATTCATTTTATAAGTCCCTACCAGATTAATTTTATTAATTCTCTTTTTTTTCTTTTTGGTATCGAGGATTGAACTTACAACCTTGCTCTTGCCAGGTAAGCACTTACACCACTGAGCTAAATCCCCAGCCCTTAGATTAATTTCATAAAGACAGATTAACAGCCAGACTAACAGGTGGGAAATCGATATAAAATGCATACGAAAATTTTACTAAATCAAGATATACTTTTAGATACTTTGGCCATTTGATTATAATTTTCTCTTTTTTAGAGAAATTCTTCCAAAATAATTAAAGGCTCAAGATATTTTTTATAAATTAGAAAACTGAAAATAAGCTAAATGTTTAATAATACAAGGTTGCACATTTTAGACTGTCCTTAAATGGTTAAGATTATTTAGATTATTGATATGAAATTAATTCATCACATATTATAAAGGAGTCTATATGGCATAATTCCCTTTTCATAAAATTAGGAATACTTCTTTTTAAGGCTAGGAGGGATATACATTAAAGTAGAAGCAATTTGGAGATGTTGGAAATACAAAAATTTTTATTCTCTGTAATTTCCTTTGTAGCTCCTTCTCTCCATATATATTCTCTTGTAAGTAGGAAACATTTTCCCTGAACAACAGTTCTCTGATTGAACTCCAATGTTACTTTGAAAGGAGGAGCAAAAAGAATACTCTTGCTGTAAATTTAATATCTCCAAGATTTATCCAGTCTTTTCTTCATCCACCTTCCTTCTTCTCTTTGCTTAACACGTTGTGACACTTCTTGAACTGAAACTCATGAAAGGGGGGTGTTGTTTCTTAAACCAAGTGATGACATCTCAAATGGCCTCATGGGATTATATTCAAGAGAGAAGCTGAAGGGAAAATCATTCCAGGCAGGGGAAGAGAATCAACAAAGGCCGGGATTTATATTATGCACACTGTGCTTGGAAACTGTGAGGACCTCTCAGAGGATGAGTGAAAAATGTATGAGAGCAGTTGCAAGAAGTATATAAAGTAGGTCATATTAGAGAACCTTGACTATCACACTGAGGGGTGCTCAGTTCACCCGGGAAGTGATGGGGCCATTGAGTCTTTCTTTGGTTAACAGGATAACTAGAGGTAATTGGAATTTCAGAAAGTCTCATCTGGGAGCTGAATGCAAAAAGATCAGTTTTACTACTTAATGAGTCTTCTCATTAAGACAGCAGCAGTGGGGGAGGAAATGGTGACCAAGAAAATATACCATTTACTATTTGGATTCAGGATGTCCTCCTACAGGTCTGTCCAACTCTGAGGAGACATGCCCTGCTCCCACCATCCGGTCACCAACACCACCCTCTGCTATCCCCAAAAGGAGTGACTTTGAAGCTGACCCCTGAGACACTGGCACTGTCTCACCGTGTGGCCGTCACCCATAGTCACAGGCACACGTGTCCAGACACATCTCAGGACATCCCAGTGAGCAGATATAATTGTTTTGCTCTCCTCCTACTCAATTAAAGATGAAAAAGACAGATCAAGAACATTTTCTTGATTTATTAGAAGTCTCATAGTCATTAAGCAGAAAAGCTAGAACCCAAGGCGGTTCCAGCACCCAAGATAAGGTCTTGGGTTGGGTTCTCATTATTCCTATTAGTAGTTAGTTCTCACAATAGCCCTTATCCTATTATCACCCCCATTCTATAAATGAGAAACTGAGGTTCACCAAGCACTGGAATGCATGTCTGTTTGATCCTAAAGCCCAGGGCTGCAGTTCACTGGTATATGACAACGATAAGAAAAGATTAAACACTGTCAAGGGCAATGGACCAAGCCAGTCCAAATCACTGAAGTAAATGAATCAAGGAAGTCTGTTTCACCCTTTTGGGTACAGGAAGATCGAGGCTATTTTACTCCTGTGCCCCCTGGCCCATTTATCTCCTCAAGACTTTTTTCCATGCACCATATCAAGGTCTGTGTTCAAATGCTCAGTGCTGCAGGGAACCAGAGAATGGCTTGGTTTTTTAAAACCATGACAGAGAGAAACTCAATGTTAGCGTACTAAAAGCAGAAATCTCAACTGTCAGAGTAAGATACTTACACTTTGTAAAATGACTGTTTCCCTAAAAGCCAAGCAGTCCTAATGAACCGTCTGTCTAATTATCAGAATGTTCTTTGGACAGACAGAACTTGGAAACTTTCAAACAAAATAAATACGTAAAGTAAATGGGCCCTTTGAAACTGCTTCTCTCCCCTTTAGAGACAAAAGGTCTGAATGTAGTGTTGTTTTGGCCATTTCATCAGCACCTTAAACATAGTTTCAATGCGGACAGATCAGTGTACACAGGAAAAACAAAACAAAAACACGAGATCTCAGGTGTTTTCACTTCTTGGTTATCTATGAATAGGATTTGTTGGGGCACAACTGTTATGGAAATTATGTATTTCTTTCACCTCTTTATATTTATCTGAAAGAAGGAAAAAAGATGACCACAGATTTATATGAAGCAAAACAAATCTGACTGACTTAATGAAAGGTATGTGAGTTTTTTGTATTTCCTAGACATTATCAACATTTGTCTTTGCCTTTCGTATCAACCCAATAAAAGGATCTTATAACCTCCAAGAAGACATAGTTCACTGTCTTACATCGTATGTCTGATTTGGCACTGAGATGCATATGGGCACATAGAAAGATGAAAAAACAGGCATTCATGACATTAGAGAACATAGAAAAATTATATGTGTCTAAAAGAACTGTTACTCTTTCTTACTTATGCATATTTCTCTCTCTAGATGGTTTGCCAAGTCCTTGTAAATTTGGGACCGTGCCCTGAGCATCTTAGAATGTGCTTTGGAGAAGGTATTCTGCAAAGAGGCTAGAAGTTGCAAGCAGAAAGAGCAAGTCAGGCAGAGAGAGCTGGGGGAAAGAGAAACCAAATACAGACAAACGTCTAAAACCTGAGAACAGACTGCTTCTGCAGTGGCCATGATAATGCTAACTTGGATCTGATTTTGCCGCCGAGGTCCAGGGGCTCAAGAATGAAGCCGAAAGTGGTGTCAGGTGACCGCACAGGAACAAAGCTGCAGCCAGATTGGCAGCTTCAGAACTGGCCAGGATGAAAGGAGAGAGGACTCAGAGTGAGTTATGTGTGCCACTCCCTGCCAAGACCCGAGGTGCTTTGGCAACAATTGGTGAAGGCTCAACAATGACAAAAAGTCACTGGCCCTTTCTTTGTGGGTGGCACCGATTTGTGCTACAGCCACTAAACCCTGGCAGACTTTGAGAGGGCAGAGAGGACACTTGCCTAGCACAGAGATTTCTATATTAAGATGGGTGTCTCAGGGGATATTTTAGAAATACTCTGTCACAACTAAATTATGAACACTTCTCTAGGATGTTGCTCTGCTGTTGACATTCTATATTGCGAAAGACATTTTTCTCTTCGTTTCCAACTGGATACATGGCAGTGGATGTGAAGTAGAAAGGCTATTAAGGCAAGAAGCTAAGGCTGTTGACCTTCATTTTGAGGAGTACCCATCTTTGTAGTAACAAAACGTAGTGTCTTATTTAATGGTTAGTGCTAAGGGCAGACCCAGACTTTCCATACTGAAAAGTCTCACGGTGCCAGTATTTTTGGAAATAGAGTTAGACATTGGAAGGTGCATTTGTTTGCTCCTTTGATGACACTGGAAAACCTCAGTTGCTCTCGAAAAGTGGAGTGAGTACTAAAGTCCCTGACCGTAGCTCCCACCCCTCCTACCTCTGGATCATCACTGCTTTTAGCTTAATCCTGAATTTCACCAAGATTCTCAGCCTCCCAAGAAAAATCCATTTCAGCATCCCACTCTCAAATGGACTTTGGCTGCTTTTCAATACTTCCCTCAATTTACACTTCAGGTAGCTATGGGAATTCTCCTTGACTCTTATTTTGAGCCTACCTTCTGCTCCCCATTTCGCATAGTTTCAACCTAAAATCAAAACCCTCTCCTAAGCTATTGTAAAAGCCTCTAGCCCTCCTTTCCATTCCTCCTCTTGCCTCAGAGGACTTTCTCAATGTAGATTTGAGAATTATTCCCTTTCTTTGTAGTCTCTGCATTATTCAAGCTGACTTCCTTTGTATGATACCTCTAGGTTTTTATGATCTGATCCCTGCTTATCCTTTTTAGAATGTTATTGCAGAGGTGAACAGTGCAGAGTTGGCCTCTGTAAAGGGCTTTTATGATTAAACTTACTGAACACTGCAGAACTCGGCAGCTGCCCCAGATGACTGTCGCATTCAGGGGCGATCTCCACCCTCTGAGTAATACCCATGGTTTGAGTCTGTCTAGAAATGAATTGCCTTAGCCTCTTCCCAACTACAGGCTTGGAAGGCAGTATGGGTTCACACCAGGCTAGCTTACACATGGCACTCCCAGGTAAATATCTTTAACTTGGGAGCAGGAAAAAGGTTTGTATTTTTTAGCTTACTGAAAGCTTGGAAGAACTAAAATAGAAACAGTCAATCTAATTACTAGCACTATTGAGAAATTGTTGAGTGGAGGATAAAGCTTTTAAACAAGTAAAAGAACTCCACATGCACGTAATTGAATCTACAACTACTGGAGAGCTAACTTGTGCTAAAAGATTTCTTGCACATTTTGTACTTAGTAACTGAGGCCTATGGGGAGATGTTTTCTCTTTGGACTTTGAGCTCCGTATTAATTGCTTATTAAAGACCAGTGGAGTTGATGGTGGGCTGATTCTGCTGAGGAAGAGACTCTCATTGGCTTTTAGAGTTAGTCAAGCAGAAAGGAGAAAATGCTGAAGGAGATGAGGTTTGGCTCTGGGCTGCAGCCTTCCCTCTGGGGGCTCTCTGACACCTTACCAAAGTGATATGAGTACAGAGTCAATATTGTGAAATCATTAGACCTGGGTTCAAATCCACTGAAGTATATGGCCTAAAGCAGGCATTGTCAAACTACTATCCTAGGCCAAATCTAGCCCACCACCTGATTTCATAGATCAGTTTTACTGGCTGACAGCCACCTTCACGCATTAAGATAAGGCTGTGCAGAATTGAACAGGCACAACAGATATCACAAGGCTCCCAAAGTATAAAATATTTTCTACTTGACCTGTTTCAAAAAAAGTGGTATACCCCTGGACTAAAGCAATAAAAGACTTAACCTCAGTTTCATTATGCACAGAATGTTGGAAATAACACTACTCCTAAAGGTTTTATTATAATGCAAACAGGCATTAAACAAAACAAAAATAAGGACATTTGGAAGACTCTAGGTTAAATAAGGATGTGTTCCTTTCCTGTAGGCTCTCACAGAGCCTTTAAGAAGGTAACTAGGTAATCTGGCATCGTTTTCCCTGATTAATTTAATCTCAGAACCCCACTGTTATGAAATAATGTGCAGGAGTTATTCTCATACATACATGCATGTATCTTGGGATACACAAAGACTTCCCAGGGATATAGATAGTTCAAAAGGAGTCAATTTTCAGATCTTGATTCCACATGCATTGTTTCCTAAAACAGATCCACCTGAAAATAAGCCTTCCTTTCCAATAGTCTGTCTTCCCCCCTTTATCAGATAAAGGTCAGCTTCTCATTCACTCCAGATTCTAGCTTCTGCTGTAGTTCAAGCACTCTAGATTGCTTGTTCCTTTAATAATAAATCACAAAGTCCTGAGGCCCTGGTCTTATGCAGAGTTTCCTTAAGCCTGAAGCTTGGTATTAATGGGCTGTTTGGAGCACGCTGAGACTCTGAATTCAGGATAGCTGAAGTGGTACAGAGTCGTGATGCATGTTCTTTAGCCTGCAACTGGAACGTTTCCTGAGACTACCAAATTTTTCAAGGTAGAAAACCCATGTGTAAAAAATTTACATTTTTCTTGCAGACTTGCTCTTTAATCAATGTTAGTTAAATTTTATTTTATGAGATTACATTATGCAATATTTATGCTGATTTTGATAGATCCCCACCTGATTCCATGTCAAATGTGTGATATGTTCAACTCCTATTGATTGAAAAACAGTCTTTAAACTTACGATGAAAACTTTTAAATATCAACTTTAAAATGTGTAAAATGATATGCAATTTCTCAAAATCCTATTAGGAGGTTGGTGAACAAAAGTGTTTGATGACAAGCCCTTTGTAGTTTTCAGCACTGGGAAACACTGAGTTAGACAGGTCTATGCAGAGTTCAGCAAGTGGCCCAGCACCGCAGTTACTTCATATCTGCTTTTTCTCTTCTCCTGCCCTCCCTCCTTCCCCTGCCAGTCTGATCAACGCATTCATGTTCTTTGTCTCCTCTCCAAAAAGTCAAGCTCTCCAAAAAGGGTTTAATGGATTGATTCCTACAAAGAGATGACTTAAACAAGCAAGCTTGCTCATCTGTCACTGAACTTGCATTTTAACACTGGAGAAAATACGAGAGAGTGAGAGCTATGGTAGTGTTTGGTTTTCTGTTCTCTGACATAGACCTATTTGAGCAGCTTTCCTCTTCAGGTGACTTTTTATTAAAATGAGTGTGTTCTTCTGGATCTGCAGACCAAGAGTGCTTCCAAAGACCAACCTGGGTCACAGCTTCACCCCTGAGAATGGAAGCTGAGACTGCAGTGTGGCTTCCTGGTCCCAGGAGAGAGCATGTTCCTTCAAGATCACAGGAGGGGAGGGGTGCTCTAACCAAGAACACTGTGCCTCCTCCCAGCACCACCCACAGCCAGCCTGCTGGTGGCATTTGGGGCTGTCTTTCTTTATCAGAAGTTAGGGAACAATCTGGAAGGACTAACTTTTTTGAGTGTTCTTCAGTCTCACAGTTTAGCAACATGTTTAGCTAACATAAGAAATTTGGACTCACCTCCCACCCTGTTTGAACAACTCACAGAACAAATCAAAAGGAGGGGATGATAGTCTCACTATTCCTTCTGAGCATATTCACTGCCCCCATTAGACTGGTAGTCAGTTTTTGATAGGGGCTGCTGCTTCCAAAAAGAAGTTTCTGGCCATGGGACTGCTCTCACGTGGCATCCCAAACCATTTTCCCTAGGGAAGGCAGGAGGAGTCATTTCCTTGAAGATCTGTTTCCCAAATGAAAGACCTTTGATTCCTAGCATGATATCTATAGGTTTTTACCTTTTTACTCTTTCCTCAAGACAGCACTAAAGATCATGTTAAAAAAATAAAATTAGAAAATCCCATTGAAATTGACTCAAATGATGATACTAAAAATGGTACTGAATATTTTGATGCAGTAGTATTTAGTGTGTCAAGTCAGGTGGGGTCCAGCATCTCAGATAATGCCACCAAAGCTCCACTTCTGCTTTGTCATAGTGTGTGGTCCACCCTTAGCCTCCATATCATGCAGGGCTGTACTCTGCATTCAGCTGACTGCAGCAAAGGTAGGTAGGTCTCAGAGAAAAGAAAAGGCGGCACTAGCACGTATCTTGCTTCTTCTTGTCCCAGACTGAGGGAATGTTTCTGTGAACTAATCACCGGGATTAAGTTGACCAAGCCTAATCCCTATTGTAAGGAAAGAGTAGACTTCACTCAAACCATAGGTAGACCTAGTTTTGTCTCCATCCAAGACCAAATCCTTGCTGAACAGGACAAATTGGTGATAAACATTATACTGTCTGAAGTTTTTACTTTTGCCTCATCATGATCTTCAAGACAGTATCTCTCCTTTGGGTTTCTTGATAGACACCTTGGCTTTCAGTTCAGCCTCTGTGCTCACAGCAAAAACTTCTTCTGCTCCTTAATGACCCCCACACAGCTGACTTTGTGTGAGCTATTTCTGCGAGCCCAGGATTGATTTGTCACCCCAGATGTGGTTACTCCATATACCAGCCACAGTATATGCCTGTCCACCTCTGGCCCTGATCAGTGGGTTTCTAGGCTGACACACCTGAGTGCTTCTCTATCTGAGCCTCCAGATTAACACTTCACTTTGGAACACATACCCTCTCCTCTCACCCTAGGACTCTGGTGACCAAAGTTTCCCAAACCACCTCCTGTCTTCTGACTCCACTGCTCCTCCAATCAACACATCCTGCCTTCCTTCAAAGCTTTTTCCTCCTGAAAGGTACAAATTACTCATGTTTTGCCTTCATCTTCCGTATTATCATCCCAAAGGTAGAAGGAAATTGGATAAAGAAAAACATTTTCACCTTCAACTTTACTTTTAATGTCTAAGTAGTACCCTTTTCTTATAATTAACATACATTAAAAATTCAGCTTTATATTTCTTTACTTGCAGCCCACTGTCCTGGGGTGCCCAAGCAGCCTATGAGATGTAAGATCAGTTCATGATCTATTCCCCACAGGACTTCTGTCCTGAACAAAAGGTGTTCTGGACTTTGCAGATGTTTAACAATTCATTTTACAGGGGCTGGGAATTTAGCTTAGCGGCATAAGCGCCTGCCTTGCAAGCACACAGTCGTGAGTTCAGTCCCCGGTACCAAAAAATCAATTCATTTTTCTTCCTTTTCATTGAGTTCTTGGATATCACTTTCACATACTAGTGTTCTGTAGGTGAGCATTAAGGTAGGCATCGTGTAAAGGGAATATTTGGATAAGCATATGCACAGTGGATATTATGTTTTCTGAGTTCAGTCATAACCTTGGGCTCTTGCCTAAGAACTTTAAGAGAGTCAGCACAATTCCCTTAGAAGACAGGCTAGCAGGAAGTGGAGAACAAAACACATTATAAGGCTGAAATGTTAGAATGGTTGGCGAGAAAGCACTGGCCTGAGTGACACAGGACTTGTGGAAGACTTGCTTGCTCATCTAGGGTGGTCACAAAGTGTGCTCTGACAGTATATTTGTTCTGTGATGACCCAGTGTCCATAGCTGTGGCCAGGAGTAGCACCACTTGGCTAGATCAGTGCCTACTCCTTATGGGACTATCAGGATGTGTTGGAAACACCCTTGAATCTGAAGTGAAAGACTGCTTGATCATTTTCAGGCATTCTACCTCCCCTCTTTGATAATGGCTAGGATGTAAGACTCAAGGCAATGAGTCTTTGGAAATACATCAAAATGGCTGTGAGTCACCAGGTAGTGTTTAACCATTTCCCAAATGCTTGTCCATCAGCACTGACCGTGTACGCTACATTCATAGACTGAGCTGAGCCAGGTAAATCCTTAGTATCAGAACAGAAAACAAAAGCTATAAGCACTATTTTGATTCTTCCTGAGACCCTAACTCAAGATCCTGTGTGAAGAAACATCAACTCTATCTCCTTTAGCTCAAAGCCTCCTGTAGAGCTTTACCTCAGCTTCTCTGGGCTCTCCTCATAGAACACTCTTTTCCTCTTGAGCCTTGGAAGATACAATAAGTGAATCAAACCCCAAACAAGTGAGGATGCCAACACTCACTTGAACACTGAAGGGCCAATGCAATTATAAGCATCTTTGTTTTTGCAACTGGCTCCATTATTAATGTGAAATTAAAACCTATTCCGAGCCCTTACAATCTGGTAAGTGTCCTGTAATTCTATTTACTGATATTGCCCTGAGATTGAGCACTTGGGAACAGATAAGATAAATAAATGATGTGGTAAATATTAGATCAGCTTACTCAAGTCAGACAAGCATGGGTCTGAATATGGCTTTGCTCCCCACTTGAGTCCCTTCAATTCTGTGAGCTGAACTTTTGCATCAGTAAAACAAGGATTAATTATACCCACCTCCTAGGTGTATTACAAAGATAAAACAAATTATGATTTGTTAAAGAACTAATTTAATATTTGAAAAGAGAATACTTCCTCAATAAGTAGTAGTTACTGCTAAAACGTTACATTAAAGTCACAGTACGACATAATCAGAAGACAAGAAAACAGAAGGACTCTTTAAAAGCTCTCATTTACATTCTTTATGCATTCAGCAATATTCACTGAGTCCTTTGTTGTAGCAAACATCATTCTAGAACCAGGAAATACAGCAGAGACAGGTACAGCCCCAGGAAGATGAAATAGACCATCAGCACTGAAGACAACTTCAGATAGCCATAAGTTTTGGAGAAGGAAGTTAAACAGATGATGCGAGAGACAGTGAGTGTTGGACCACCAGGAAAGACCTGGAAGAAGATAATAATTGAAGTGATGCTTCTCAGACTAGGACCACAGGACCATAGAGGGGGAAGATGGGTGAAACAGCAAGTGCCAAGGCCGTAGGTGGGGCCAGGACTGGCCTGTTAGAAGGATGGGGTGACCCCTGGACCTACCTGGGGTGCAGTGAGGGAGAGGGGAGTAGCTTGAGAGGAGGTGGAGTACTGGGCAGAAGTTCTGAGTTCTCATTCCGCTCTGCTGCCAGCTTTGCATCAAGTTCTTCAGTCCTCGGAGTTTAGTTCAATCTTTATATCCAGAAAATGGGGGAAAGAATTGGCTTTGATCGTTAACGCTCTTTCAATCTTGACTTTTAATAAACATTGAGTGTGCTATTACTTTTCCTATGACAACAGTGTTGTGGGTAAATAATCTCATAGCTTACCTAGTTTTGTTTGTAAGTATATTGATCTTTCAGAAAATGTTACCAGTAAAATCAAGGCCTCAAGCTGTAGAACATTCTATTCTTCTTATCTCAAAGAATCTTTGGTATTTGAGAGCAAGTGATCAGTTAATCATAGACTGGATTTGGTTTCTGGTGACAAAAAACAGCTCTTGGTAGTACCTCACAGATTCCTCCAAGAGCGTACATTTAAAATTTACCTGTTTTGTATTGTGCCTTGGCTTTTTTTCCCCCTAAAAACAGAGGAGCATGCCATCAAGTCACATAAGTAAGTTTGGGAAAACCTGAAGGCACTATTTTGTTTAATAACATCAACTGGCATGGAAAATCATCCTGGATAGTCTGTGTGAGTGTCAAAGTGCGATTTGTAAGTGTTCAGTGTCTTGAATATTTAAACAACTTTGACACTGTTTTAATGGCAGTTTCTCTACCAGGGACGTAACATGCAGGTGGGCCAGCACCTGGGCAAATGGACATTTAAGAAACCCATTGTTTCTGCTACTAACACAGGTAACTTAGAATCAGGAGGGAACGTGATGACTAAGTGAAATTGGAGGCCACTTGGAGCAAAATGGTTGACACTGATCCTGAGCTGGCTGTAGTGCTACAAATCTACACCGTACTATCCTGTAAAACGGGTGACCGACAATCCTACTTCTTAAAGTATCTGCTTTTCAAATACTTATAACTTCTTCGGTAGACCGTCACAAAGCTTAAATTTTTTTTCATGTTCTTTCTTCCTACTAATTTAAATGCCTGTATTGCTTTCTACATTATGCCCTCCAATTTCAGCCAATGCGTTAAAGATTAAACTGGTGGCTTCACTCAGAATATTAAACTTCTAAAATAAATAATGACAAATTACATACATAGAATCTACTAATCTAGGTTTTCTACTCATGTGATCCTCACAAATATCACATGAAGGAGATCCTGTTTGAAACTCTACTTTTTATGTGGGAAACTGAGGCAAAGAAGGCTCAATACTGGCTAGTCAGAGGCAGAGCTGGGAATTGAAGCTGGGGCCACGAGGTTCACTCTTTGCTTTCAGCCACTTCACCATTTTGCCTCCCTCACAATCAAATCTATGCCTGGGTTTCTAGTAAAAAATCTATGTCTTTTTTGGTTTAAGAGATATATGAAAGCTGGTGTAGTGGCAAAGCTTGCAATCCCAGCACTTGGGAGGCTGAAGCAGGAGGATCATTGTGAGTTCGAGAACAGCCTGGAATACAAAGTGAGCTCAAGTTCAGCCTGAACTGTGTAGTGAGAACCTGTCTTCAAAAAGACAAAAAAATATTTTAAAAAAATAGAGAGAGAGAAAGAGAGAGAGATGAAGAGAAGCAAAAACATTTTTCTTTTTCTCTAATTATCTTACAAGTAAATATAATTGTTTTTTCTTCCTGAAAATGGAAACCCAAGATAAATGCTTTATCTTAAAAAGTCTGTTTGATGAGATCTTTGGTTTATTCATGCTGTCCTCACTAGTGGGGAAAAAAGCCTTACTGGATAAAATTAAGCCAGTGTGTTTCCCTCTCACTCTGTAGTTGTTTTTAAAAGCACAACCCAGTATTGGAGTTAAAGCAGGAATTCTCCCTTTCTACTGAGAGGGCACAAGAGATCACAAGATTTACTGCCTAGCTGAGAGAAAAGGGGTGAGACACTCAGGAAATTCATTACTTGTGTATACACGGAAGTTTTCAAGACACTTTGGTTTTTCCATATCATTAAGACAGCTGTTCCAGACAGTGAGGTGGTGGTACCCTAATATCTACCTTTCTCCCTACATACCCACCTACTCACCTATGTCATTATGTATGTGTCTAGATACATACAAATACCACAATATCTTAGCCACCAAGCTATTAATTTTCTGTTTACTGTCTTGAGTCTATATCATGTATAGGTATGAAAAGTCCAAATTACCTGCATCCAGCAAAACTTTCCTATACAAACTAGACACAAAAAGAGAATGCATTTAGTATAAGCACAAAAAATACATCAGATGGGTGTAAGAATCATATGTGTATAAACAATTTGGTGTGTGTGTATATGTGTATGTGCGTGTGTACTTCTTCTGGATAGCCTGAATCTTTAGAGGATCATACTCCTCTTTCATATTGTTGGCTGGGGAACTGGTTTTGCTACTGATGTGTCAACATATGGAAACATATTGTTCCTGTTTTCAGAGAAAATAGTTCAATAGGCAAACTCCTGGAGAAAATGGCCCAAAGTATAGTATTATCAAATTTAGCAAGTAAAATATATATAATTGGTTACATTTAAATTTCAGATAAGTAATGAGTCCTAAATATTGGGTTTTACCTCCCAAGGTAGAATC